TATACACCAGGAATACAACAAATCCCAGCAATACATTATACATACAGTGGCAATACACCTAGGCAATACAAGTGCATTGTATTGAACCACATCGCATGGTAACCCATTTTGCACGTACTTCTTTCTGTGAGATTTAGCTGCAAATGAATGGACTGCCTACCACAGCACACCACAAACACACCCTGCAGCACCCTCCTCGATGCATTGCAGAGGTGTGAAAGAGGGCTTAGTCTTACGTGTACTTCTGGGTAAAAGTAACTTAATGAAGTTGAATGCCTGTTTTTTTGGAGAAGACTTGGAATGGCCATCCAAATTTTATTGCCATCTGTGTCACAGTTAGGGAAATATATATTAACAAAAGTGATTGTGCCAGTAAACAATGGGAAGTGAAAGCTACTAGACACTGATTATAACCAGTATAATGTGAAAAATAAAACAATGTGCCGAGCTAATATCAACATAAACAAACATGCAGATATAAATGTAGAAATAACAGTAGATGAGCAATGTGAGTCACGTCTTGGACTCTGGGCACAAAAAAAAAAAAAAAAATTCCATAAAACAATATATCAAGAGTCCAGTGTACTGAAGTTCATACAAGTGACGAAAACACAGAAGAAATCCACAAGTGGTCCTTTGTCTCAAAAAGTGTCTGAAAGACCGCAAACAAAAATGTATTGCTGTCCTTCACCCTCTACACCCAGGGGCGTCAGATGTACAGAGGGTAGCTCCCCTGAGGTAATAGGCCCACAAAGTAGATCTCCACACGCAATTCCCTTCTCTGAAAGGGGATGGAAGCCCTTATAAGTGATATCAATGGATCCACTCAAACCCGCACACAGAGTTACCAGACCCAAAAAGAGACAAGCAGAAAGAACATAGCGCGTACTGTCCAAAAGAAAGAGGGCGGAGCAACTGACATTTGTACAGAGGAGCCGGAAGGACGGGAGCGTTTCCACCTGCATCATTTCTCTTTCGTTGCGGGGTTTTTATGAGACTACCTTTTTATACAATAAATATTTGTCTTTTGGACGGTACCCGCTATGTTCTTTCGGCTTGTCTTTTTTTGGGTCTGGTTACCGTGTGGCGGTTCGAGTGGATCCATTGATATCGCTTATAAAGGGCTTCCCTCCTCTTTCAGATACGGGAATTGCACACTGGGACATACTTTGTGGGTCAATTACCTCAGATGAGCACCCCTGTGTACCCACTGGGTGTAGATGGCGAAGGACTGAAATAAATTTTGGTCGCGGTCTTTATGTGTTTTCGTCACTTATATGAACTTCAGTACACTGGACTCTATTGATCTATTGTTTTTTTGGACATTCATTTTACACATTTTATTTTTGTGCCCAGAGTCCAACACGCGACTCACATTGCTCATTTAGTGGTATTTCTACATTTATATATGTGCATGTTTATGTTTAGATATTCGCTCGACACAGTTTGGGAAATTTTCCCTCACATCCTGTAAAAAATTTACCAAAACAGGAAGTGAGGGGAAAAAAACAAAGAAGTCTTCCCAACAGAGACATACAGTAGTAAAAACCATACCAAACTAAGTTTCTAATCTCCCCACTCTATGCAAGACTTACAGCCCAACTCCAGGCCACAAAAATATTTGTTTTGTACAGAGGGAAGAAGGGTTACAGCCTCTGGCAGATATTTATGGCCATGGGACATTTCCTCTCCCTGAGTCTCCATTCACACCTAGGTGTCAGCGTTTCCACAAGAAAAACTCACGTTTTTATGCACATTTTTCCCCACCTTGCATGGTTTGCGCGTCTTGCACTATTTTACGCACGTTAGATGCGCATAGACAAAGACGTGCGTTTTCTTGAGCAGATGAAAATGCATTGCTGTGAATGAGGAAACCTGCATGAAAACGCACATAGAAATGTGCAAAACGCTTGTGTTGCACGTTTTAATGCGCTTACATTGAAATGTATGCAGCCAAACGTGCTGTAATCTGCCCGAAAGAAGCTCATGTACCTTCTACAGCGTTTGGCGTTTTACAGCTTGCAACAAAACGCTCAGGTGTGAACAGGGGACATAGAAATAAATGGGATTTTTTATGTTGAGAGTTTTGTCGCACTTAGCTTTGAGCATCAAAGCGCCCAGGTAGAAAAGGGACTTACTGTCTGGGACAGACAAACGCATGTTTTTGGTAAAAGCGTAAAAGGGTAAGAACTTCTGGAAAAGTTTTTATTGCCGTCTTCACCTTCCTGTCCTAGTGACCGACACGCTCCCGTTTTTCTTGCATGGGTGTCATGGGACAGGAAGGGAGGGAACATCTCCCCAATGAAGTCACAAACAAACAAAAACCTGACAAATCTTAGATCTTCCCCACTCTATTCAAAACTAAAGTTGATTTTTTGTTTTTAAAAGAAAAAAAAGAAAGTTTTATCTGAAGCTCTCCTTTATTCTTAACAGTAGCTCTAGCACTAGATTTTTGCAAATCAGATCAAAATATAGTAAAGAAGTCTACCAAGTATAGCAAAGCAAGTAAATAATAGTAAGCATAGTAAAGTAAAAGATGGTAAAGATTGTATCGTGAAGATATAGCAAGTATTATAAAGCATAGTAAAGTAGATACAGTAAGTATAGTAAAGTAGATATAGCAAAGTAGATATATAAAGCATAGTAGATATAGCAAAGTAGATATATAAAGCATAGTAAAGTAGATATAGCAAGTATAGTTGTGCAGATATAGTGAAGACGATATAGTAAGTATGGTAAAGCAGATATAGTGAAGAAGATGATATAGTAAGTACTGAAGATATAGTAACTATAGTACAGTATAGTAAAGAAGATATAAGTAAAGAAGACATAGAAAATAAGAAATAAAATACATTAGAGGTCTTGGACGCAATACACAATTTTCTTTGTAGATCAATATTGGTAATTGTACAGATTTTATTAAAACTAAAAGCAAACAAATCAATATTTAAAGCAGAACTCTGGAGACCAACTAACAGATTAAGCCGCCACCCCTACCACAGGACACTATACAGCATATTATTTATTTAAGGGTTACTTTATGACCTTTTTTCCCCTTTCTAGATGTGGAGGTAAAGATGTGACTGCTCTGATCATCTTTCCTTTACTCTTCAGTGTATGGTCGGAGAGCAGCCGCGCTCAACGTGCTTGCATCACTGAAGCACGCATCTCCACTGGGACCACAAGACAAATAACGCATTGCCTCTCGTTTGTACCATCATTTTAATGATGTTGCCCCTGTAGCCTAGAGGACTACAGAGGGATGAGTATATGACAGGGAGAGGAGACCGGAAATTGCTGTGCAATGCTCTTGTCACACTGCCGGAAGCTTTATTACAGGCATTGTTGGAGTGAGGAATCGCACGCATCGGTGTACGGACTATATAGAGAAGTCATTAGAAGATCAAAAATGGGATTCCTCATGATCTGCTTGCCTACTTAAATTCTAAAAGCTGGAGTTCCGCTTTAAAAAACTCTTCATCATTGGTGCCATAGAAAGAAAATACAAAAACAAAAACAGACTTTGTAACCAGAAGCAGTTATTCTTGGATTGGGCTCTCAACACAAAATAGTTACCTTTTTATATGCGACTGCAGCAATACAGCCGAGTCCTGGTTTTTACATGATTTTATATTTCCACATAGCAAAAATAGTACTTCAAACCTAATCGGCAGGAAAAAGAAACTGCAAGGGTTAACGGCTGATTTATATCTAGGGGAGCTGTGTAAAGGAATTCTGCTTACGTGATCCCCGCTCCCCCAGCAGTCGGTGCTTACCTATTCTCCAGCTTGTGAACCATCCCTTGACATCTTCACATATAATGCAGGGTTATGTACCATGCACTGTACGTGGCAACGTCAGTGGTCTCCAAGCTCCAGAGTGTGTGTGTGGGGGGGGGGGAGAGGCTGCATGTGCCAGTCTTGGAGCCAGCGGGGATCAGGTAAGTAAATGTCCTTTACACAGCTACCCTACACATATCTGAGCAGTTAACCCTTGCTTTTAATGGGGTAGCTCCACTGCAAGGAGAGTTTCTTCCCAGGAGATTAGGCTTTAAATAATCAGAACTCGCTTATCTATTCCCATACAGAAAACCACAAGAAAATCTATGCTGGAAATGCTGAACACATAAGCATACCTTAAACTTGTTAATCCCTCTGCATTGAACCAGATTCTTAAACAGCTTCAGGCATTTCTCAAATTAACCCTTGCAGTGGGGGCTACCCCTGGGTAACTGCTCGTTTTGGTCTAGGGATGAGAAGAGGATATACCTCACAAGATCCTTGGTCCCGCTTGGCTGCTAGACCAGTCCCCCAAAGCCTCTTCTCCCCCGTCCTCTGGCGGTCCAAGGACCCGTGACATCATTACATCTAAAAGCAGATCAATTAAGACGTGTGGACGCTCAGGGACATTCCACAGCTGGAGCGGAGAGGAAGAGAGGCTTGCGGTCACTGCCGCATGTCTGAGGATCAGGGTGGGTACTTTTGCCCCTAGACCAGTGGCGTAACAATCAGCATAGCGACCCAGGCGGCCGCTATTGGTAGAGAGAGACAGACACAGAGATTTACATAGCAGCAGCATATCAGGACAGATTGCAAGGATAATTATTATATAAGAAGTGGGGACCTCCACGGCAGCATGTCATCAGTGCTGTTATATAAATCAGACAAGTTAATTTGACTCAAACTGCAGAATGAGATTTGACGAATAGGGTGATTAAGGTTCAATAACATTTATTCAGAACAAGCCGGGTATCAGAATCAATACCGAACTCGTCATTTATCAGCAAAGATTGGTGCAAACAGACTGCTCCTGAATCAGCAATTAGGTGATCTATAGGTAATTGTCCGCCTGCACACATCTCTTACGTCACATTTCTCAACTTTGTGTTCACAAGGATTTAACCATTAACGTGCTGTACTAAAAAACAGCAAACTAATTCAGTAAAACCTACAAAAAGCCACATCTAAGCCATCAAAGATAATATGAAACTGCGTCCTTACCTGAAGTTCGCACCATGCCACCTCCACCCACGTTTCCGTATCCAGACCCTTATAAACCGTTTTAAAGGAGCCTCTTCCTATTTCAATGTCGAACTTTAAAAACCTTCCATCAGGGGAGGTAGAAACAGCCTTGATATCTGCCTCTTCTTCGTTTTCCTCCTCTTCCTCCTTTTTGGACTTTGGTGTCTCTTTAGTAGTGTCCAGTTCATCTTTACGTTCTTGGCCAGCTTGCTCTGGTGGTGCTTGTGTTATCTTCTCTTGGGAAGTCTCGGTCTTGGGTTCATTATTCTCTGGGGTGGGTCCCTGGTCACTGGTCCCCTGAGTCCTCTTAGCAATGGCCCTTCTGGCTCTAGAGATCGGGATGACCTTGCTCTGGTGCAGAGATTCACTCAGTTCTAAAACAGACGGCTCCTCTTGATCGGACTCTACCACGGTCCGCCTCAAGAACCTCAGCTTGACCGGTTTCAAGTTTTTCGGAGCTGGCGCGAGCTGGGCTTCTTTCACCGAGCTCAGCATTGCAGTGTCCATGATATTCCCACTGCTGTTCAGCCCATGAATATTCATAGGACTCAGAGTACAGTCATTGGGTTTTGCCGGGCACGCACTTTTGATCCCTTGAGCCTTTTTGGTATGTTCCCCACTTTCCATTAGATTTCTAGTTGTAGATCGTGACTCCCGTGGTCCTGGTCTTTTGCATGCATGGTCCATATCAGTTTAAAAAAAAAAAAACTCAAACAGATTTCCCTGCAGGAGGCTGTGACGCAGAAAGATGCAGTTGCAGTAGTTTTTTTTTTCTTCTCCTAAGCTCCCACGAAAAAGGTTATCAAAGTCTGTCCTCCCAGATCACTGCAGATCCTCGGTCAGTCCAGCAACATCACACCTCCGTAGACAGCCATGGGAGTCTATAGGATTGAAACAGATCATTAGAGTCACAAGCAGTATAGGGACCCCTCTCCACCCCTCCCAGCACACAGGAGCTGTCCAGCACTATGTCCCATCCACCGAGATCAGCAAACACAAGTAGGAAAGTGGACTCTGCTATATGACATCACAAGATCACATGTGTGCCAGGGTCAACATGACCACTGCTGGATTATTGGGGGAGAGGGGGCACAAGATGCTATGCATAGGGAGAGGGAGCGGATAAGGTTTCTAATCAAAAAATGGGGCCATGGCCAAAAAGCTTTGTCAGAAACCAACATGTGACATTATACGATGGGTCCTGAGGAGGCACATGACCTGCGCTGGTCATTCAAGAAGAGATGATGTAAGCAGGTATCAAGGCCTTGGCATCCTTGATTATATAAAGAAGAGAAAAGGTGGGTACACCTTAAAGTACCAGGCCTGAGGCACTCCGTTACCAATCACACCCATTGACAGGAGGCCTGGCATGCTTATTACAAGATCACAAAGTGGGTACCAGGCCTACCATCCTCTGTTCTGCCAGTGCATGGGCAAGCATCCCTGGGCATTCAGTGACTGAACATTGAAAGCATTCAGGATATGGTGAATGTGACAGCGTGCGGCCAGGGAGGTCCCGCGTGGCCCCCCTGCGATAACAGGCTTAGAGTTTAACTCATGCATTGCTGGCTGACACAGGGAACTGCACAGTACAAAGGAGCTGGGTGCTGGCAGGGAGCACATGCATGCTACAGGGTGGGGAGAGGGAGACAATACTCACATTTAGCCAACAGGACATCTGCAAAGAAGAAGAATACATAACTTCTCCCCCCTGTAGCCAGTGACCCCCCCACCACCCTGCAGGCTGAGCAATAGGGAGGACCCCACCCACCATGCCCTATGCTCTCTGCATCACACTCCTACATGCAGGACGTCGGGTGACCTGCTTCTCTTAACACATCTCAGCTCTGTCTACGCAACCTGAACCACCCCGCCCCCCTCTGCCTGCGCTCTGTGCTCCGGGCTCTCTAGTGAGCTCTCCATTGAGCAAGCCGGCTCCTGGACAAGGGGGATGCCTAGGTGGGCAACACGAAGAGGAGGGGAGAGGCGCGGGGAGGTGCCCGGAGGATGAGGGGCGGGGTGCCGGGAGGAGCGATCTGACAGCTCTGGACCAAGAGAGTCGCTGTCAGCGCTGGCCCCGCCCACACGTCAGGGAGCTCTGCGCAGCGATGGGTCCGCTCCTGTGTTTGGATTCGTCACCGGCCGGTGACCGGAGCTAGGAGCGGGCTCAGCGATAAATCTCAGGATAACCCGTTCATTCATACAAGAAGTACATTTACATCCGATTGTGTGCTCGGTTACAGCAGATACAAACCTGATCGCTGAAATCTATCATTTTTAAAGCTGAACGCCGGAAAAAACCCAAACCTTCCAGTGTACCTTCCCGCAGCAAGGGTCAACTTAAAGATCTCCAGATTGAGGCAAAATTAAACACTGCGGAGGGGATACAAATGCAAGGGTTAACTGCTAATTTTAGGCTAGGCAGCACGCCCACTGCTAGACTAGTCGCCACAGCATCTTCTCCCCTGGGCTCCGGGGTCTAAGGATCTGTGATGTCAAAGCGAGGAGTAAGGGCTTGTTCACACCAATTACACTGTATCACACTGAACGCACTGTATCGCATCCTGGCAGGCTCACTGCGTTCTGGGGTGGGAGGGGGCATGGAGGTGCATTTAAGTCAATGGCACTGCAGCCACACACCCCCTCCCGCAGTGCAATCGCCTGCACCAGAACATATGGCACAACAATGCCTGCATTCCTGTCGAGTGGCAATCGCAGTGGACAGGAACTACGGCATGGGGGGGGGGGGTTGGGGTGCTATTGATTTTAAGGCACAACCGTTTG